GACCAGCCTCAGCAAGAGTAAGATCCTGTCTCTACTAAAAATAGAAAAAAATTATCTGGGTGTTGTGGCACATACCTATAGTCCCAGCTACTTGGGAACCTGAGGCAAAAGGATCACTTGAGCCCATGAGTTTGAGGTTGCTGTGAGCTATGTGACGACACTCTACCCATGGCAACAGAGGCAAAAGGGTCACTTGAGCCCATGAGTTTGAGGTTGCTGTGAGCTATGTGACGACACTCTACCCATGGCAACAGAGTGAGACTCGTCTCCAAAAATGTGTATATAGGCTCGGCGCCTGTGGCTCAAGTGGCTGAGGCGCCAGCCACATACACCTAAGGTGGCGGGTTCAAATCCCCAACCCGGGCCCGCCAAACAACAATGATGGCTGGCAGGCGCCTGTGGTCCCAGCTACTTGGGAGGCTGAGGCAGGAGACTCGCTTGAGCCCAGGACTTGGAGGTTGCTGTGAGCATGATGCCATGGCACTCTACCCAGGGGGATAGCTTGAGGCTCCGTCTAAAAAAAAAAAAAAACAAACAAAAATGTGTATATAATATGAGTTAATTTTATATTTAAATATAAATATTTATATTTAAATTTATACATATGTGTATATAATATGAGTTAATTTTTCCTGTCTGTGATGGCCTTTGGAATACCTTATAAATTTTAAAACATTAATTAGAAAAATCAGTTATTTTAAGCAGACATTTGTACTTTACAGTTGAGATAACATTCACTAGACTCTCAGGAGCAACTAGAAAGTGGGTGCGGACATGATTACATTAGTGGTAGGCCCTGGGGGAATGGGTTTCCCTGCAAGGTGCTCCCGCTGCTGTGCAGCCTGCCACCTACTTCACCTGAGAGGGAAGGATTGGGGTCAGAGAGGACTGGGAGGATGCTGGTTAAAGGCTACAAGGTTTCACTCAGGGAGGAGTAAAGTCGAGACCCAAGGTATAGCACAGGGACTGCAGTTAACACCAGTGTAGCATGGGCCGGGTGTGGTGATCCACACCTGTGATCTTGGCACTATAGGATTCAGAGAAGACCAACCTAAGCCAAGAGTAAGACCATCTCTACTAAAAACAGAAAAATTAGCCTGGCATTGTGGCAGGCACCTGTAGTCCCAGCTATAAGATGCTGAGGCAGCGGTGGGGAGATCACTTGAGCCCAAGAGTTGCTGAGAGCTAGGCTATGCCATGGCACTCGAGCCTGGGCAACAGAGTGAGACTCTGTCTCAAAACAAAAACAACCAGTGTATTCTATATTTGAAAAGTGTTTAAGAAAGTAGGTTTTATGTAGTGTGCACATATTAGCATGATTTAGCCATTCTATAATAGATACATATTTTAAAATATGTTGTATAAATATATACAATTTTATCAATTTAAAAAGTCAATTGTTGAGATTGGTAGGGAAGTTCAGTAAGGTTACTTATGTTATTTTACCATTAATTAAAAATTTTAAGTTGGAAAAAAATGTATTTGGTTCTACTCTTATATTTAGGGAAATATTTTACTGCTGTACAGAACTCCTATTTTGGACTCCTAGTAATACTGTCTTTAAATGCTACAACCTCTTTTTACTTACCATCTATGAAGTGGGGATGATAACACACTCATTGTTACCTTGTAGGGTCAGTATCTAGTGCCCAGTAAATTCTGGCTATTGTTTCCATCGGCAGCAACATCATCGTCACCATAGCTACTTATTTGACTTTTGGAAATAATCTTCTAGTGCCACTGTCTCAGGCTGAGTCTTTATTTATAGCACTGTGCTAATCAGATTAATTCTGGTCAAGCTAATACTAGGAAATCTCTCATACTATGTAAGGGGAAGATGTTTATCTATTTTTCTTGTCGACTGTCTCTGGAATGGGCTGGCATTCTTGCATGTATATTTTATGTAAATTTTTCTGTATCTCATCTTGAAATAAATAATTATGTTTGTGTTACTGAAGTTCAGGATATGCTGTCTGACCTACTGACTCAGGGTAGCTTTTGTTGCTTTCTTATAGAAGCCGGCAGGAGCACCCCTCAACATGGAGGACCTGTCTCTGAACGCCCACTCAAGTGTCCCCGACAGAATTTTGACTTGAACTAAAGGATTTTTTTTTACTTTAGCATAGAGTTTGTATATTTGAAAATACTGTACAATATTTTGCCTTTCAGATTCTGATTTGATATACAGAGGGTTAAGTTTTTATTCTTAAAAGAGATTTTTGATTTGTCTTCATGTATGTATCTAGTAAAGTATAGTATAGTATTTATGATAAACTTGTTTCAGACTATTACAAAGACAACTAGGAAAGGCACTCTAATGTAAAGGACAGGTGGTGGTTCTAAATATTATACTAGCTACTGTGGTACTGTGAAAACAAGATTAATTCTCTCGAGGTTTTTAGACTAAGCACACCCATTTTTTTTTTTTTTTTTTTT